AGCTTCCTGGCCTTCGAACGGTCGTCGGCCTTCGAACGGTCGTCGGCCTTCGAACGGTCGTTGGCCTTCGAACGGTCGTCGGCCTCTCAGAACGGACATTACGGAGCGGAGAGCATGGAATAGGTTCATCTCCTCGTGGTGGACTCTTCTACGCAGTACGAAACGCCGCGCACGTCCCTCCAGAACGACTGCTGACTGCTGTCACACAACTTCACGTGCAAAACCAGGAAATCTCGCAAGTGCTTGTAATACGATGTACGAGTTTGGACAAAGTGGTTCATGTCGAGACGTTATGCGCGTCTATTCTTTATACGCGACCTACACGACATCGTCATCCGACGATGTCAGGACTCGTTTGCGTGGCGTGATAGACGCGCCGCGCCTAGTCAACCAAGACGAGGGATCTGGGCTAGGCTGGGGAAGGTGGTGGAAGTGGTTCATATTTCCTAAACTGTTCACTGACCTCTCTCAAACGTAATTCACCATCTTGAACCGCATTGATCGCGCCAAATTTGACGCGGTGGAAACTATGTTTCACAGGGCGCGACACAGGGTGTACTATGGTTCTCGTATACTACCAAACTCACTACTATAATTTAGAGGTGCCATGTTATGAATCAACTTGCAGAGTGCGCAGGAAAACGAATAACTAACGATACAAGGACAGTAGCGAGGCCTAAATAGGGGAAATCCTAGCTAGGCGAAGAGGTCTGGGAAAGGTTGGATCGCAAAAGATTGCGATTGGTGCGGAGACGACTCGGTGAGGTTTGGACGCGGAAATGTAGACCGGACCAATTGGTCGCGTGGCCCTCGGGATGGCCTCGCTAACGAGTGCCTCGGTAGGATATGTCAATCCTTACACTCTCCCACCAGCCTTGTACTGAAATGAGTCCCACGGTAGCGAGTATGTCGTTGATCTTCAGCCCAAGTGAATCCGACACATTTATAAAAAGGAAGGTTGGAATGTTGACGGTTGCAGATGAAATGGAGGCCCCAAATTTCAAGGGTAAAATACCCTTTTTGCCCTGATGGTAGGCCGATTTTTTCTAGTTACCCTTGCAAAAACAGGGTATCAATTTTTTTTACCCAGGAGCATGCTCCTCAGCGTGTCCCTCTGCCGTCTCCTCCTGCGTCCTCTCTTCCTACTCTTCCTGACCCGGAGTCTGACTCCCGTCGTGCTGCCAGTCCCACTGTCACCCGTCTCCTCGCTACTGTTGTCACTGACCCTATCTTTGAGTCCTCTGCTGCGTCTGCTCTAGTCGCTGAGTTGATAGACTTTGCTGCCCGCTGTCGTCTAGACTACGCCACTAGCCTTGTTGCTGAGTCTGAGTCTGTCTGTCCTCCGTCCGTCGGGGGTGAGTGTGCTCTTGGCACGGACGTCCTTGAGGACAGACAGGAGGAGTTCCAGTGCTTTGCTGCTGCTTTACCCCACCTCGTGTCCATGCTAGTTGCCCCTGAGGGAGACCCGGATGCACCAGACATCCCGACCCCGCGCACTTACGCTGAGGCGATGGCGGGTCCCTACTCCTCTCAGTGGCAGACAGCCATGGACGCAGAGATGGCTTCCTGGAAGTCCACATGCACCTACGTCGACGAGGTTCCCCCACCTGGGGCGAACATCGTCAGTGGCATGTGGATTTTCAGGGTGAAGCGGCCACCGGGTTCTCCTCCTGTCTTCAAGGCGCGCTACGTGGCTCGAGGCTTCAGTCAGCGAGAGGGAGTTGACTTCTTTCAGACCTTCTCCCCCACCCCGAAGATGACCACTCTTCGGGTGCTGCTGCACATAGCCGCTCAGCGCGACTACGAGCTTCACTCACTTGACTTCAGCACTGCTTTCTTGCAGGGCAGCCTGCACGAGGAGATCTGGCTGCGCCGCCCTCCTGGCTTCACTGGGTCGGTTCCTCCTGGTACCCAGTGGAGGCTTCAGCGGCCGGTCTACGGTCTCCGCCAGGCACCGCGTGAGTGGCACGACACACTGAGGACGACACTTGCGGCTCTTGGGTTCGCTCCCTCTACTGCTGACCCGTCACTGTTTCTACGCACAGACACCTCACTGCCGCCCTTCTACATCCTCGTGTACGTCGACGACTTGGTCTTTGCCACTGCTGACACCGCGGCACTCGCCCACGTGAAGTCGGAGCTGCAGAGGAGACACACGTGCACAGACCTGGGTGAACTGACAAGCTATCTTGGCTTGCGGATCACCCGGGACAGAGCACGGCGCACCATCACCTTGACTCAGTCACACATGGTGCAGCAGATCCTTCAGCGCTTCCGCTTCACGTACTCCTCGCCTCAGTCCACTCCTCTTCCTACCGGTCACTCGCTCTCAGCTCTGCCTTCGGATGAGTCCGTAGAGCCGAGTGGCCCGTATCCAGAGCTTGTGGGCTGCCTCATGTACCTGATGACCTGCACTCGACCTGACCTTGCATACCCTCTTAGCATCCTTGCACGCTATGTCGCTCCTGGCCGTCACAGGAAGGAGCACATGGATGCCGCTAAAAGGGTGTTGCGCTACTTGTGCAGTACGTCGGGCATGGGGCTTGTGCTTGGAGGGCGAGACCGAGTTGTTCTCACAGGGCACTCAGACGCTTCTTGGGCAGACGACCAGGCCACTCAGCGGTCGTCTCAGGGTTACACCTTCAGCCTTGGCTCTGGCTCAGTTTCTTGGCGCTCTACACGCTCTTCTTCTGTTCTCGGCTCCAGTTGCGAGGCTGAGATCTACGCTACAGCCATGGCTGCCCAGGAGCTACGCTGGCTGACCTACCTGCTGACCGACCTCGGAGAGCGGCCTCGTTCTCCTCCAGTACTGTACGTCGACAACAAGGCTGCCATTGCCTTGTGTGAGGAGCACAGACTGGAGCACAGAACGAAGCACATCGCCCTGCGGTACTTCCTTGCTCGAGAGCTGCAGCAGCGCGGTCAGCTTTGTCTGCGTTACGTGGCCACTGAGGCCAACCTTGCTGATGTGTTCACCAAGGCGCTTCCGCCTTGTGACCATCAGCGCTTCTGCACTCTGCTAGGCCTTGTGCCTACTGGACCTCACTTACTTACCTCTTGACCTTGCTTGTACTGTGATCACTATATATATATCTACCTGCATGTTTACTGTTGCTAGGTTGTGATCACTGTATCTCATGCTCTGTTATAAACTTGCATGTGAACTGGTCTTGTGACCACTAGTTTGTGCTCGGAATTTGTGTGGTATCCTTGAGATCCACCCTGAGCTTGTTGTTGCCTTGCTTTGCCTTGACTGGTCTTGTGACCCCTAGGTCTCCCCCACTTTGCCTATGGGGGTGTGTCAAACATTATATATGTTGTGTTTGTGTAGGCTGTAGTGGGTTAGCCTATAGGGGGGTCACAACATTAGGGTTTCATATTTGTACTCACCATCCTTTCTAGTTCCTCATTCCTGCCTGTTCATTCTGACACATATAAATGCCTACAGTAGCCTAGTGTAGTTATCTTAGTTTCCTGCTAGGTGGTGTACCACTTGCCTAATTCCTTGCCTATATCTTGTATGCCCTCTACTATTGAACCCCTCTTTTGGCTTGCACATTTTCCTCTCGTCACTCTTGCCTAGGTCAAACCCTAGGCCCCTATACGATTATGTTTGACATGGTACAGAGCATGTAACATCCTGGCCTGTTGTTTTTAACTACCCTATGGGCCCACCGCGTATTTCTCGTTTCGTGGCGCCCGTCTCGCCCTTAGTTGCGACTGCCGTGACGGGCGCGACGGCGAGCAATCTGCTGCTACCCGTAGCCTGCCGGTTTTCTGCCCCGTCGCCCGTCGTGGCGCACCCAAGGACCCCCCCCCCCCCCCCCCCCCCCCCCCCCCCCCCCCGTTGTTCGTCGCGACGCCCCCGGGGACCCGCGCGTCGCCCCTCGTCACCCGTCGTGACGCCCCTAGGGACCCGCGCGGTCCCCCCGTCGTGCGTCGCGACACCCCCGGGGACCCGCGCGTCGCCCCCCGTCGCCCATCGTCGCGCCCTCAGGGACCCGCGCGCCCCCCCCCCCCCCCCCGTCGTTCGTCGCGGCGCCCTGGGGGCCCGCGCCCTACCCTGCGCCTTCTGCTCGTACGCCAGTGGAAAGGGAGGGGGAGGGTGTGGGGTTGGCGCGTGGGTGACACAGCTCCTGCCGTCGCTGTTCACCTTTTCCTCCCTCTCACTGCTGCTCGCGCACCCATGTGTTAAACAGACTAGGCGAAAACGAGAAACACGAAAGATGGCTTTTCACTAGCAGCAGCAGGATACATATAGGAAACCCTAATTGGGTTGTACTCGCTATAGAGTACCCCACTGCAGGCTAGACACACATAACATTCTGACACACCCCCATAGTCAAAGTGGGGTACAATCAACACAACAAGCAGGCAGAGCAGTAGTTCACAATTATAAGCAGCGCTAGAGACTATCACAGAGAGCAAGAGAGGAGGAGAGGCTGTGGGGCCGAGAAGATGAGAGACGACGGCTGAAGCTGCAGACACACGGGCAACAGAAGTGCGCAGCACTGTCGCTACCAGGCTAAACCCGGACTACACGGCGACAGGCGCTGCTGGCTCGCTGTGCTCCCACGAGTGCTCACACCGTGGCTACCGGGCGCAGAGCCCCGGACTACTCAGGCCACAGGGGGTCGTGGCTCCCTGGACTTCAGGCGCTGCGGACGACAAGTCGGCTACCTCCGGTCAACCTCCCCCAACTGTCCCACACCCCTTTCACACACTCCCTGCTGAACCACTAGCACCGCTCACACGCCACCCCCCTCGTACCACTCCGACGGCTCCAACACATCCACCCCCCTCAGCGGCAGCTGCAGCAGTGGGAGACGGAGGAGGAGGAGGAGCAGGGGACGGCTCACACACACGGCACCCCCATACTCTCCACCCCCAAACCCTAACACAGGAACGCGGGCAGCAGCAGGGGTGGGGCGCCGTCAAACGCTCGGGGGATGGCATGCGGCACTGGGACAGGCTGCCCGGGGCGCGCACGGGCCTGGCGC